CGTGAAATTTTCAGTGAAGATTCTGCTAAGAATCCTAAACCGTTAGTCATCTAATAATGAACTTAATAAAACAAACAGAGAATTTTCCTTCAATTCAAKGCTTTATTTCACAAAAATGATAAGAGAAAATAAGAGATGTCATTTCAAGTCCTACCGCATTACCAATTTCATTGTCATCCTTGGAGAAGACGTCTTGTTTGTCAGTGAGCATTGACTTGACTCTGTCTTCCTGGTCAGCGGTCAAGCCCTGAAGGTCGATTTTTTTAAGGTGCTCAGGTATTGTACCGCAAGTACAAAGAGGTTTCTCCTTCGGAAGCACTTACTTCGTTGCAGACTGTGGTGCTGATTTGTAGGTGACATCTACCGGTGTCACTGACTGGACCATCTGGAGCTGTCCCATGATTGTCCYTCCTCTTATGGTGACGTCATGATTGGTGGAGTTATGTACGGTTATGTCGACGAGACTCGACTTCRCCCGTCTTTTGCCAACTACTACCAGCGATGCGATAGCTTCGACGCCGTCAGGTAAGCACTGTATTTCATCGGGTTCGAAAATAACAYGGGTAGAGTTGTGGATTGTGCCTGTGTTTTCACGGCATGGTACACYAATASTAGACCCCTTCCATTCTTAATCACTAAATCTTGCTTATTCGTTTTGACTTCACACATGTAATCTGAATTTGCACTTTGAATTAATCTAACAAYCGCGTCCGCGTCCTTGATGTTGGGAAATGCCTGCTTCACGTATCCAGTACGAATTGAGTCATCATCGCTTGAAGTAATCACTTCTTCTATGACGTTATAGCCAATAAGAGGTCYATCAAGTTCATCATTCGTAATCAGAAATGGTACATTGAGTTCAATACCCGTAGTAGACAGTTTTACATTTATTTCTACCCATCCCTTATATTGTATAGGAGTGCCATTGGCAGCGCTAAGACACAGATTGGGGGTGTCTAWGAGTTCTGCTARMTCRCGTATTTTATAAGAAGTGCCCTTTAGTATTCCTTCAGAAATAATCGAAACTTGGGCGCCCGTGTCCCACAAGGCTTCAACCTCCTTTCCGTTGAAGTAGCATTTCACTATACATTTCTTAGAGGTATAACACATGCTTGGCAGATTTGAATGTTTGTACATTGATTATSAAAAAGTGCCTTCATATTATCTCCAGTTTTGCCCGTCTTGGGAYCATAATAGACAGCACAAGGAATACTACTTATTGTCTATTGTTGTTGTAGACGAAACAAAATCTTCTGTCACTATGTGCTTATTAAGAAACTGAGGACTAGGATCCGGGGTTTTGCGCACACAAGGATCAACTTCAAAATCAAGACCAATATTTTGTTTTGTTCATGGATCAAATTGTATGGAGGGTGTCAAAGCTGTACCTTAAGTAAGCTAAAGCTCACAGAGTTATTTTAGCGATATCATTGTCAATCAATGGCTGGACCTTAGAGTTGCTTTCCACCGAAGTAAACTTCAAAAACGTTTTTATCAATGTTTTAATGACTTTTCAATGATTTTGTCGTATATCCTGCTTGGTATTTCATGKAGGTTTCGCCAGAAGGACCCCCAAAATTCATGTAACTATTATCTGTGTTTTGGACGCAGCCTCTTCCTTGACCAGTATACATTGTATACTGTTGTAGTTGTGGTCGTATAGCGAGCCACGCTTTAAGTAGCTCACGGTGGTACGTTGGTATGTTGTTAGCTATGTGTTGTATACCGTGTAGTTTGTTAGGAGCGTGTGCACTACTAGGTTGTCGGTACGTGTCTGTAGAAAATGTTCAACAAAAGCTTTCCAGTGTGCATCGGTTGGTTCCAGTGGTCGTTTCAGCYTATTAATACGTAAAGCGGTTATTTTGTCATTCATAGCGTGAATGTTGAAGACGCCGGAGCTTTTCGGTTGACTGAGCGAGTGTTTGTTAACGAGATGAGKTTTATTAGASCAGAAGAAGTTATATATTATGGTTTCTACCTCGCGTATCGCSCAGCTAGGGATAGGAAAGGAAGTAGCGTGGTACCATAGAACCGAAGTTAGTAATCCGTTCATCACAAGGGTTTTCCCTGTGAAACTTAGGTCACGCGACTGCCATGCTGTACACGTGTTGCGTATCTTGTTGATGCGCGGTGTTATGTTTCTTTGTGTACAGTCAASGTTGCCGAAGTAAAAACCAAGTATTTTTTCGGGTATGTAGTCATTGGACCAGTTGAAATGTATATTGTCTGTTCGGTGCTGGAGAGAACCAGACCAAAGGCCCCTGCACTTTGATCYATTTATTCTCGCACRGGAAGCACGTTCGTATGCGTTGAATATCTTGAATGCCTCATTTATTGAKTGTTRATTTGACAGTAGCAGTGTCGTGTCGTCAGCGTACTGAGTGAGTTTCACTTGTTTGCCGTTCGGCGTCTGAAAACCGCATATGTGTTCGTTTTMTCGTATGCGGGTTGCGAGTATTTCAGCCGTCAGTACGTAGAGTGGCGCGMAGAGCGCGCACCCTTGTCGGAGTCCATGTTGTAGGTCAACAAAAGCCGTGAACCAACCATTGACCTTGACTGTACTTGTTGTGCTAGTGTATAGCGTTTGGATTCATCGGATGAATTGTGGGCCGAAGCCATACTTTGTTAGTGCTTTMATTAGGAAGGTGTGGTCAAACCTGTCCAAAGCCTTGAGCTYGGCAACGGAAACCACRGCTAGCGCTTTGCTGTGTTCATTTTTTTACAACGTTCGGCYATGTAGCTGAGAGGTAATAGGGAATGGTGTGGAAGAATGTCTTTCTCTCAGCATCTATTTTTCAGCTCTCCTTTGTGCTTTAGTCTTTCGTGCTGGTGTGCTGTCATTGTTGAGGTTCGATGTGGGGTTGAGCCTTGGTCGTTGTGAGTGTTGTTGTTGGTCATCTTCATCAGTGGAGAGTGGACGTTTGATGGCACTGGCGTGCTCGGCCATGTTGATGTAGGGGTCCGTGCAGTTGTGCATGTTTTTATTGACGTCGGGTAGTTCTGTTGGTTCGCTGCCTGTTGTGATGTTGTTACACAATCGGGCGACGTGTCCCTTTTCCCCACAATCAAAGCATTCGACTTCAGGGCATCGGGAGAATGTATGACCGTTTTCGCCACAGAGTTTGCAGGTTTTTACTTGGTTGTTGTGAATCACTCGGCAGTATTCCCCTGCTACTTTGATTGAGTAGGGGATGCTGCGATTCAGGAGTTTTCWATGCCAGCGAGCTTGTGGTCTTTTTTGTATTTGAGCTTGATGATGTCACTTTTCAGTTTGCCGTAGGGCTCTAAGACAGCAGTGAGTTCTTCGTCAGTGATATAAGCCCGGAGGCCAAGGATCGAGACCCTGGTATAATGTCCTGAGGGTGGGTTGCAGGGTACGTAGACATCGCCAAGTTGTAGTCCTTCGTCTATTAGGCGTACGGCGGCGTCGTTACTCTTAAATTGAACGAGGTATTCTCCAGAGGCTAGTGAACGTTTCCATATCATAAAGTTGTGGGTTATCTAGTTATGCAAGTTTTTTGTTGGTAGATTCTATATATCAGTTTACACTTTTTTCCGATTCTTCTTCGATTTCAGTTCACTGAAAATTATCAAATCAAAGTTTGTGCAACGTTGACTATGTTAACAAAAAATAAATATCTAATGGAACAGTTGAAATGCCATCCCCTAAAACCTCTTTTGGGATTGAAATAAGAAAATCCGTTCCTAACTTGCTTTTTAGTCAACATTTGGCGGTTGACGAAAACCCTTATTGATTCGCACTTCGTTTCGTGCCAAGAAGTATTGAAGTATATAACTTTTGTGATTTCATTGCACTTCTTATTTACTCCCTTAAACTAAACTTATCACTACTCCCAAAACAGTAATAAGTTTTACTGCATAACCCTACGATCGATTGCCCCTCCGATTATACTTTAAATACGCCTGGTGTTCTCTTATCATAGGCGCGATGTTCTGTATCCATTCTGGGAAACAAGTTACACTTATCTTCTTCAAACTCTTCTTACATTTCCTCTTTAACTAAACTCTCAATGCTTCTACAAGAAAGAGCTATGTAAGCACTGTCAGTATCCATCTCACAGTATTGAAAATCAGAGCGATCTACATATTTATCAATGAAATCATAATAAAACTGAAGCATTCTTAATTTAGCATATTGGTAGACAAAAAATCCTATTTGTATTGGTAAATTTAAGTTAATTTTGGTCTTTGAAGACTGTAGTGTTTACTAATTTAGAAGCCTTTGCATCAAGGCAAAACTTGACTTCTTGGTGATGTTCCTCTTCGGTGATGGTTTTTCCATAGCTTGAGTTTCTCACCTAGAATATAAAAGGATTGAAAGTAAAGAACTACAAAAAGGTAAATCTTAGAGATGGTCGCCTTCGTTTCTGATGTATTGGCTGTTAGCTTCGGTTTCCCCTCTCAGCTCACTCATTGGTTTCTTTTTGACTCTATTGAAATCTTTCTGGTTTAAATAACATCTATCTCCATGCCAATAACAGCCTTTGATTAAAGAAAACAAAATGTCAGTGAGTAATCAGTGAGTAAATGAATAAATAACACGATGACATAATAAAAGTAGAAATGTAAAAAAATAAATAAACAGATGCAAAACCATAAATGGTTTAACACAAATGAATGAAGAAATGATATATGTAGTCATGATAAATGAAACATATGAACGACTGACTTACATGAACGATCACTTACCATGAAACTGAAACACTGTTTGAATTGGATCATAGTAACCATCTTCTGCCAGCCTTCGATTACAGATTCTTTTCTCTGTATCATTTACTTGATGACGTATTGGAATACCACGACTCTCAGATTCCCATTCCAACCACTCAGTCGCCAACTTAACTGAACTCTCTCTTTTAAATCCATTCTCCTCTTTTCCCACTCATATGGGAAGAAACCTAAAGAGCAAATGAAAGAAATGGGCTTAGAAGTTAAAGAAATTCAGAAAACGTTCGGGACTTTTGTCATCTTTGTCATTTTTAAGAAAGGTCGACATCCCCTTTGAAATCCCAAATATCTAGATTTGCTTTTTTAGTTAAAGAACAAGAAATATAGATATTCCCAAACTTTGTTGTGTATAATCTAAGCGGTTCCAAGCCAAATCAAAATAAGGCTGCCATACGAATATTGCTAAAATTATGAATAACTGCTCCTTGTTTTGTCAATTGACAACACATATTGACAGTTCCCAAGTATCTGAAACTCTAGTTTGGATCAAAAGGAAAGGTTTTATGTACAAAAATATGACTAACAGTTTTACTTTCCCAGTCCCATAATGAGCCAAAAAGGACAATGAATGTCCAATCGAGAGTTTTCTTGAGTATCATTGTTGTTTATTGAGCGTGGGGCGCCCATTAAGTATGAAAACAACCAAAAATCGGTCTTCTTAATTCCCTCTGCCATTTTTTAAACCTACTAGTGCATCCTGACTTCTTCCGTTATATGCGTAGTGAAATTCAGACTCAGTTATCTCAACATCTTGTAGGTTTTTATTGAAACACAAGTTGTTGTACTTAGTCAATACGTCCGACACGGTGAACGAGCGCCGGACGATTGTTTGTTCTTTTGTTTGGCGGGTACCCCCGATACCATGGATACTATAATTCTTTACCAATCTCATAAAATCCCGGACAAAATAGCCCGGATTAGAGGCCAGTTTGGAAGACTGGGCTGAGGATTCCTTTCCTGTTGCTGAAGCTGTGGAATAGTTTGGTCAAAGATGAGGAGGAGATTGGGGAGGTGAAGTATGTGGACAGATGTGGACCTGTTGAAGTGGAGTAGAGGTAATGCGTTTGTGTTGACGATCAGGACATTAGAAATGACTGGACAGAAGGGTGATGCTGATATTGGGGATGAAGATGATGGTGATAAAGGTTTTGAAAGATTGTCTAAAGAAGAAAAGGAAAAGGTTTTGTGTTAAAGTTTTGTGTTGGAGATATGTTTTACCATGAATTTTCTTTTATTCGTGATGGTCTACCAAAGTCCTACCTAATTAAACAATGCAGAGATAATTTCAACAGCATGTGCCATCTAACTTCACATCCTGGTTCCCATATTGGCTGCCAAGGCAACTCCGTTACTGATATTTCAAATGATGTTTGGCTTGAAGGAGCAACACTGGAGTATGCCTGTGCTTGGTGCAAAACACCTAAGAGTGAGAGATGGAATGTAGGGAAGAATAAAAGTAAACCTACAAAAGCCATTAATTTATAATAACAGTTGTGAACATGAACATTGATTAATATTGAACTGGACCATATCATTGTTGGCGAAGTTCATTTAATGTTACGAATAACTGATAGACTGCTGACTAATTTAATTAATCATGCTTTGGACTGGGATGTGTGAGAGGACAGGAGAGAGGTGTACATTTGAAGAGAACAGTTGAATTTTCAAGATAACTGGGTATTTCTTTTAATGTTTAGGAAGTGAAAAATGCAGATGGGACAAGATCAAGTGGGAGGTATGACTGGACAAGTCAGGTGGGGGATGATATAAAGAAACTGTTGTAAAGATTGACAGACAAAGCAGGTGCACTGCAGCTCTTTCAGATGCCAGAGGTAATCTTCTTAAAATTCTGGAAAGAGTTTGCTAATTTATATAGTGTAATAACAACATGGTCACCACACAGAACTCCACATCAGATCTGGAAAATTACTGCATCTTGGGTGAAGCTTTTTCTAACTTTAAATGGAAAATTGCAAGGCCATGAAAACATTAGAGTAAACCCGTACATGCATATCTTGGTTGCACATGTACCATATTTTTTTGAATTATATAAATCTATTAAAGTTTTTATTGGCCAGGGAGTTGAAAAGAATAATTATGTGGTAAGGAGTTTTGTACTAAGAAAATCCAACAAGTAGGATGATCCAGTGGACATATTAAAAGTGGAGAGTAGGCAGTGGCAGTTACGATCACATGACAGGAAAAGAAGAAATTATACAAAAAGGCACTCTGTTTACTGGAATGAAGGAATCAAAAACAAAAGGAGAAAAAATGATTATTAAAAATATATTTGAATATCTATCTATTATTTAATTTCTATTATTCATAAGACTCCTAGGCAAGAACTTAAAGTCATTAGAGATGAACTTATGCAACAAACTCCTGAGGCCATGCACACAATGTATGAAAGACAATCTGCTGATGAAGCAAAGAAAAAGTACACAGAAAGAAAAGCAATGGGGAGAAAAATATTGTTCCACCAACATGCACAGGTAATAAGCATATAACAAGTTCAATGTATGATATGTTACAGTTAAACAAAATCTATATGTACTCTCTGGTTCTGGAAGCACAAAGAAAATAAATGCAAAATAAATAGTAAAACTTTTGTGAACCTTTAAATTTGTTAGACTGCTTGTGATTATTTATGTCATTCACTGCAAGCAACTTCTACTTACAGAGGCAGAGGTACAAGAAATGTTGGCAGGTGCATCTGCTGCACCACAAAGAAGACAACGGAATCCAAACAGAGCTGCACCAATCTGCAGAACATGTAAAAAGACGAAACGGGGACACCCAAGGATATGCCCAGACAAAGAAACTGAATAAAAAACATGAAATGTTCAAAAATATATAAAAGAAAAGAGTTTTGACTAAATTTTCTTCCAAGTTTACAATGTTTGGTATACTAGTATTTGACCCTAGTACAATTAGTTATTACAATATTGAATACATCAAGAAAATAAACTTCTATTAATTCTATTATTATATTTACAACACATGTTCATCTCAGTCTTCAGTTTCTTCTATAGCATCTTCCTCTTCTTGAAATCCTTTATAATTTCCATCCTGGCTCGGAAATTCTGTCCTGATTGCATTATAGATGTAAGATGGCAGCGGTTTCCTCGCATCCTTTCCCATATATCCCCATATAAACCGAAAGACTTGACGGTATGCAACAGATCGAAGAAACCTAAACACACACAAAAATAAAATTAAGTACTTTAGTAAAATACACACTTTATAGTTGTTGATATACATGTGGGTATGCATCGATCTAATAATATTAATTTTGGAAATTCTAGCTATAGTTTTAAGATGGATGTGTAAGAGGCATGTACATGTACAGTATGTTTCTAGCTAGAATATATAAAAGATGTTATTTGAGTTTTGAAAACTATCAGCAGCATATCATACTAGCATTTCAAAGGCTGCAAACTGACTGTGACTCAGACTTGTTCTCATTTTTATACAGTGTAACATAACTCTTTTTGTTTTTTGTCTTGAGGCCGATAGCAGCAACTTCCAACACATATTTGTCCAGACAGACATTTCGAAATCCTGGATGGTCCCTAATGCATGCTTTATCGTCAAGCTCAGCTTCTTCAATTTTATCGATGCATCTCAGCATCTCGTGGCAACAAATGCATTCCTCTGGTTTGAAGACCAGGCTGAGAGAGCAATTTGAGCAGGAACACCTGAAGACAAATTATTACTCCGTTAGTATTTGGATTGCATGAAATAATATGAAGACATGACTATATATATTCGCTGTTTAAAGCTAAACAAACGTAACAACTTCTTTCTTGATCAATCGATAAACAATTCTCATAGCTGTTATTGTTATGTTCAATCTTTGGCGTCATATCTTGAAAGCGTCGCTCTTAAATGACTGTTTTCCTACATCAGAATATTTTATCGCAATGCTCTTTGTGCAAAACGACTTACCAGCTTTGAACGTTAACTTTATTTGAGAATCTCTTCCTGAATTCTTCTTCGTCCTCCTCTAAGGCTACTTGTTCGAGGTACTCCGATACTTCTTCTTCGTTGGCAATGGGCTCCAAACTATCGTCGTACACGTTTGCTACTTGTTGATCTCCATTTTCTTGAGGCAGTTCGCATGTCGATAGGTACGACGAGTCGGAAGATAAGCTTGAAGACAATTCACTTTCACTAGAGGACATTTTGAAAGATTTCCTAACTACAATTGTAGCGTGGAGAACGTGTAGAACTACTGTAAACTAAACAAGGCTACCAGGCGAGCTTGGTAAGATGACGTCACGCCAGAATACCGCTGTACTAAAAATTTTATTCGAGTCATCCGGCTCAAGTGAGGAAATACGCTCTTTAAAAATAATATAATTCGATAACCCTTTACCAAAAAAGGACAATTTTTGGTACACTTAGAGTTTAGATAACATAGAATCAGACAAAATTTAAAAAATGCTGTTCAACTTTGTCAAAATTCAGTCCAAGTCCACCTTTAAAGCACAATTTGTATATACTTTTGAAATACTAACACTTTCAATTTTTTAGCAATGTTGGTTGGTCACAAGAAATAACTTATTTATATTATATTTATTAAAATCATTTATGAAAGTATAATTATAGTATAATCTTTTGATTTCAATATTTCAAAACACAATTTGTATACATATCAATATTCAATATATCATTGTAAATTATGTTTTAAGATTTTTAGTCTATTTAAAAATGTTTTATATTTGTGCAATATCAAGTTATATTTGTTGAATGAAACTTTCTTTGTGTAAGCTGTAAGCTTTGTGTAAGCTTTATTCTTCAGTAGTCAATTTTACAAGATCACAGGTTAGACACGAGATAAAATATTTGAACTCGTAGTACTTATATGCTTAGTCACAGAACATTCAGAACATTACATCAGAGTTCCTAGAATAGAACACATGAGATTATTCTAGAAATATCTAGATATTTAAGTAATCATGCTGAGTCAGGCTTAAAGTCATTAATACATAGATCTGGAAAGTTCGCTAAGCTTGTTTTCCTTTTCCAACACTCCTCCTCAATTGCAAGTGAACTATCCACTGACTGGCTTAACTCCTGCCATACCACGAAGGTGTGGTTGATTCAAACCTTTGGTTAGCTTATCTGCATTCATATCCTCTGTCTTGCAATACTTGACTTCAATGATGCCCTTCCTTACTTGATCATTAACAAAGTGGAGCTTTATGTCAATATTGTTGGCACGTCCATGAAATTGTTGTTCATGCAGATGGAGGACTGATTATCCTCATAAATCACTGTAGTAGAGGGTTTCTGTTTCAGATCTGATAGAAGCTGTTGAAGCTATATTGCTTCTTGAGCTGCGCTGGCTAGTGCCATGTACTAGGCTTCTGTAGTTGAGAGTGCAACGCATGTCTGTCACTTGCTTCTCCAGCTTTGGCTGCTCAGATGTAGACGTACGATCATCTTGGCATCCAGCCCAATATGTGTCTGAATATTCTATGCATTCCTTCGTTTCATCTTTGCAGTAGAGTAGACCAAGGTCTCTCTCTTCCATTCAAATAACGGAGGATTTGCTTTACGGTGGTCCAGTGTACTTTTGTTGGTTCAGTGAAATAACGTGTAGGCATTGTTTGACAGGAAGAGTAGACTGCCAACCTCTGACTGGTATTGGGTCTGATCTGTCTTCTCATCGTCATCTTTAGCTTTGACTATCTTTGCTCTTACGTCAACTGGCGTACTAATTGGTTTCGAACTATCCATAACAAACCTTTCTTAAACACCATTCGTGTATGCTGATTGGTCAATCCAAATTTGATCGGCCTCGGGTTTCTGGACTATCTTAACACCCAAAATGTGATGACAGTGTACCCATATCTTTCATTTTGGAGAGGGCTTGCTTGATTTCGGTTAGGAGCCTTTCACCTTTACTGGCTAGTAGTAATACACAGAGATAATAAACATGATCTCTCTCTTCAGGGTTGTGTAAATACAGGGGTCTGCAGTGGTTTGAGCGAAGCTCATCTTCTTCAGCTTGTCATCTGGTCCAGCATCTAGGAGACTGCCATTTAGAAACGCAATTGTAACCATTTGGTGTAACTGTAGACCACGCGAATTATGTGCAAAGTGACTCAAATCTGACTACAGGGCGAAACGTCTCGTTGTAGTCAATTCCATACTTATGCACATATCCCTGAGCTACGAGTCGAGCCTTGTATCTCTCAACATTTCCGTCATTATTTTGAACACCCATTTACTTCCCACTGCTTCTCTGTCTTTCAGAAGGTCAACAAGCTCCCATACTTTGTCCTCTTTCAGTGACTCTTTGTCGTTGCCTGCTAAGACTTCTTTTGCTGTCTTGGGTTCTCTCAGCTCTGCGGCACTTGCTACTGTTACCCATTCGCCATAGTAGTCAGGTGGTCTTGTCTCTTGTTGATCTTTTTCTTCGCAGAAGACGACATCACGGCTGTAACACATGCGTCGTTTTTCAGGATCAAAGAGTCTGTACCCTTTGGTTTCCTCGCTGTACCCAAGTAGGATGCACTTTTTGGCTTTCGAGTCTAACTTCTTTTGTTCATCTGTCGGCACGTGTGCATATGTACTGCACTCAAAGGTACGCACTAGCTCAACATTTAGTTTCTCATCTGTCTATGCTTCGTACGGAGTCATGTTTCAGCGCTTTGGTTGGACTTCTGTTACTCAAATACACAGCTGTCGATAATGCTTCTGCCGAGAAAATAGGTTGCAGCTCCACATATGCTAACATCGACCTTACTGTTTCAACTAGAGTTCTGTACATTGTCTCTGCTACTCCATTCTTTTCGGTAGTTTTCGAGATTGGGGGCAGAGCGAAGAAACGGAAGGGAACGCCTGCAGCAGCCCATTGTTCTTTTGAAATACTCTTCCTAATTAGTTATGCGTGAATGCATTCGTAACTGTCAAAAAATAACCAATCAAAATGATCAAAAATATAACGGAAGTGAACTTACACTCCTGTTAAAAACATTCGCCTCACATGGAAAAGTTTTCGATATGTCAAAAAATAACTATGGTAGAAACTGTAGATCCACGCGAATATTGCAGAGTCTGCAATTGTAATTTTAAAGTACAGTTTGGCGTGTCAGGAAAAAAGGAAACATATCATTCAAAAACATGTTTAAACCTTCTCAAAGAAAAGATTCTCTTGGAGTTATTTTGGCGAACGTATGTCAAGAGGTGGGAATTCCAATAGCAAAAGATACTTAAAAGTCCGACAAAGTATGAAATCCATGTGGAAGAAAGATAAGAAACTTGGGAAGTCTTTATAGCAGTACTTTGGAGAAAAATACTAGTAAGAGACAACTAGAGATGCCCGACAAACACAGCCCTTCGTGGAGGCAAACTAAACGTATACATGCTGCTGCATCTCAAACCAAAAGATCAWCCCCGTCTAGCAAAAAAACTCTTGATTTCAATGAGAGAACAAGAAGAGAAACATTGTCTTCTTCTTATCTAAATATTGACGATTTACCAAGSGATGGATTGCAAGTGAAGGTGCTTATACGAAACCCAAATGGCGATGTTGTTGTGAGAATCCCGCGCGACGAAGAAACAAAATCCCTTATCAAACACCTCTCCCTTTCCAGCTGGAGTACTGCTTCGAAGATCATAATGAATCACAAAATGCTTTGTTCAGAACTTCCTCCAGAAATGGGAAAAACTGTCAACAACGAGTTTTGAGAATACCTGTCTTCCGATAGTGTTTTACAGAGCACAGATTCCGAAGACATATCAAGTTTCAACAACAGATAGAGGAAATCCAAATCCATTGTCCCATGTGGTTTGAGTGTGTGCTTGGAGTTAGTGGATGTAGCGAAGATGAAATGAAGAGCTCTTCCAATATAGTCAACTATGCTGCTTTAGCTACATCGACTCTTATTRGCCTAAGAAATGGTGCTATGTCTGCATTACATTATAGYCTTTCAACTATTCTCTTTCATAGTGGRGCACGACATGAAGATCTTATTCGTTTAAATCGTCTTGGAGTGTCCATSTCACCCAGCAGCATAATAAACTTACAAAAGATGGGCAAGGGAAGGTGCTTTACTGGAAGAAATGTATTGAAGAGAACAGGGGAGCCCTGCTACTATGCAATGAACTCAACGTTTTATTYATCCTCTTCAGTTTGTAGACCTGTAACTACTTTTGAGCGCTGTAGTTCTTGTATATTTTTCTCAAGTTTCTTATGCTTTCTCGCTTGTGTTTTTTTCTCTGAACTGGTTCCTTGGAATAGAGTATTGATACACAAGTGTGCGGGATTTCACGACAATTGCCTTCTATACTACCATAGTTGAGCACGCAAATACACTTTGTTCCCCTCTTTTATTCTCTTAGTGATTTGGTCAACTAGATACAAATGTAATAMTGTGTTATTGAACAATTTGGTTACGATAATTGTACGAGACTTGTAATCAATTGTACAGGATTAGCATTACAAAGAATCATTTTGATTGAGAGGGAAATTACAATGCTGAAGACTTACCAACGTTGGCGGGTCAAGTAAGACAATTTAAGTAATTAATCCCAAACGAAGTCGCTATTTCGATTTAAGTCCTTACTCACACACAAGTGATACACTATACGCGATTACCCTAGGACGCTAAGAGATTACATTAATCTCATTGTCAATCAAGATGATCAAATAAAACAAGAGTAATGCCAATCACTATGGTAACAGTTACAACAAGTCTTGTAGATATATTACTCCAACTGGGTAAATAATTTTGAAGTGATTGAACGTCAGAAAACTTCCCACAGTTGCAATCATGAGTGGGACAATCTCGGCAGTATCGTCTAACCATGTTATTCCTCGATGCTTTGAGTAGAAATGATAGCATTTCGTCAATGCCTTCTCCTTTTATACCACTCAGGACTGACAGGATTAACAAACCATATAGTATTCTTATAATAGACATTTTTCATAAACTCTAAAATTGCGCCAATTTCCAACCTAAATTATCAGTAATTATTTCGACTGACTTTGCGTCAAAAACTTAACACTTAAATGAACTTGTCCAAGCTTGCCCGTTGACGTCATAATAGAAGTTGTAGACCGAAATCAACAGACCGTTCATGAATATATTTGCTTGCTATAGGACAATCAAGTCATTCAACCGTGAGACGTCGTCGAGTGCACAACAGACACTAGAATTACTMTAAGTCTTATTTTCCCCTCTGTCAACAAAAACGTTTGTAAGGATTTTAGTGTTGCGCATATAGATTTCCCATCATTTACTACCATCATCTCAAAGAAAATGGAGGGAAATTCAGCACCAAATGGTAAACAATTTAGATGTGATATTTGCAACAAATCATTCAGCGGAAAACAAAACCTCGAAAAACATAAGWAAAGTGTTCACAGTGAAAAGATATTCAAATGTGAAAGATGTGGAGAAACTTTCAATCGACAAGATAAACTAAAACGCCACGAAAAGAAACATTCTCAAGAAAAACTGTTTGAATGCAAACATTGCAACAGTAAATTTTACAGAAAAGATAAAATGAAGGAGCATCTCTCATAGTTCTACTGGCCGTAGTAGCAAACAACTGGGGCTTTTGATAATGATCTTACATTGTCCACTCTGCCATATGCTTCATGGAAGGG